GGTCAGTGGTGGAATTTAGGAAGTCTGTGCTAGTGGAATGAAGGATCTGTGCTAGCAGGCTGAGGGATTTTGTACTGGAGCCGGGAAGTGACACTCAGAAGAAACAGCTCCCCCAAAAGATACCACAGACATCCTCAGCAACAGTGAGGCCCCAAGCTCCTTCAATGATCAAGATGGCTGAGTTACCATCAGGGAAGCCAATGCAGCAAGTTCCTTCAGGAGGCCAGTAGTGCACCATCTTCCCCTCTGGAGGCAGGAAGCGATGCTCAGAGTGAGGACCAGAGCTCCCCCAAGGTGAACCAAAGCCATTCTCAGTGCCAATGAGGTCCTGAGCTCCTTGAAGGATGAAAACAGCTGAGTTCATCAGGAAAGCCAGCATGATGAGCTCCTCCAAGAAACCAATAGCTCCTTACAGATTCCACCAGCACCAGCAGCCTTTCTCTGCTCCCAACAGCCTCCTTCAGTTCCCAAAAGCCTTTTCCTTTTTCTCCAGTTCTGTCTCTTATGCTGCTGGCAACAATCCCCAAGTGGGCCTCCCACACCCAGCACCATGCTTACTCAGTTCACCTGGGGGTTGTAAGTTGACCATCAGTTTTCAATCCTCTACATGAATCTTAAGTACATCTTTGAGATGAACACTTTTTATAAAAAGATGTCCACTAGATGGCATTGTTTTCAAACTTGTAGTTAATATCTGAAAAATAAAGCTTTCACTCTAAAGAAAAAAGATAGTTATAATGAAGATTGTCACAAGAAATTACTGGGGTTAAAATGAGGGAAATAGAATACTACATAGAATACTACATGTACATTTTTTCAGGCTTTTTCTAAAATAAAATTCGTTTGGAAAAGCTTATACAGTGCTGCAGCATACTGGTGTATAAATAATTATTCAGTACAATTATTTAGCATGATAAATGTGAATAAAGGTAGTTCATGTCTATACAATGACTGCTCTTTGACCACTGTCAAGCTACTAGTTGAAATCCAGTGTAGAGCTGGAGGACAGAAAGTTATTTTTGCCTGTCAGCTGTGGCATTATTGCCAATGAACTAGCTATTCCCTGTCTAATTTTTTTTTTTTTTTTTGAGACAGGGTCTCACTGTGCAGTTCAGGCTGGCCTTGAGTTCACTTTGTAGCCCAGGCTGGCCTTGAACTCACAAAGATTCTCCTGCCTCAGCCTCCCGAGTGCTGGGATTACAGGCGTGCACCACCATGCCCAGCTCCCTGTCTGATTTTTTAAGATTCATTTTATTGGTACTTTTTAGATATACATAATGATCACATTCATTAGAGAAAGCTTGTACCTGTGCATGGTATTTCTTTTTTTTTTTAACATGGTATTTCTTTTTTTTTGTGGCGGGGGGAGGTGGTTCCCAGTACTGGGAATCGAACATTCGACCTTGTGCTTGCCAGGCAGGCATTGTGCTGCTGAGCTAAATCCCCAGCCCCTTACGTGGTATCTCTTGATTCTTCTTTTTTCTTTTTTTGTCTTTTTGAGACAGGGTCTCGCTATGAGGTTCAGGCTGGCCTCGAACTTGCAACAATCCTTCTGCCTCAGCCTCCCTCCTGCCTCAGCCTCCCAAGTGCTGGGATTGTAGGCATGCACCACCATGCCTAGCATTTGATTCTTCTTTTTTGGCCAAACCCTTCTCCTCCCTTCAGCTCTCTTCCCCTCATTTACAAAAGGTTTGTTTCCATTTTGTTTCTTCTCTTCTTTTTTCTTTTCCCTTTCTTCCTTTCTCCCTCTGCATACCTTGTTCCCCTTCCCATTTGAATATTTTCTTCCTATTTCCCAGTATCTGTTATACGTTTGGTCCTTATTTACGCTTTCACTTTCTCCCACTAGAGAAACAACGTGATATGTAAACATGTGTATCTGATTTATTTCATTTAAGAGTATGGACTCTTTTTTTTTTCCTTCCTTCCTTTTTCTCTTCCCGCCTCCCTTGTTCCCATTTTTTTGGAACAGTGTCTCACTATTTCACAATATATTTTATCCACTGCTCATTATTTAGATGTTCAGTATCACATATCAGAGAAACAATTAGAAATTTACACAACGTGAGTCTGATTTATTTCTCTTAAGAGTATGTTCTCAAGGTGCATCCATTTATCTAGAAATGTCTTCAGTTTATCCTTCTGTGTGGCTGAGAAGTACTCCTTTCTATAAAACCCACATCTTTATCCATTCCTCACCTGAGGGGGCAGTTTGGTTGTTTCCAAGATTTAGCAGTTACAAACTATGCTGCTATAAACGTGGGTGTGCGTATATTGCTGTGGTATGTTTTTAGGTCTTCTGGATAGATACCCAGAAAGGGAATGGCTGGATCAAATGGGGGTCTCTAATTCTAGTTTTTTGAGGAATCTCCACGCTGATTTCCACAGTGGCTGCACCAGTCTACAGTCTCCCCCACAGTGCAGAAGGGTTCCTTTTTCCCCACAGCCCCGCCAGCATTTGTTATTGGTCGATTTCTCGATAATAGCCATTCTTTCTAGAATCTCAGCATTGTCTTAATTTGTATCTCTCAGATGACCAGTGATGCTGAACATTTTTTCATGTATTTATTTGCCATTTGTATTTTTTCCTCTGAGAAGTGGGTGTTTATCTCAGATGGGTCTTTAAATTTGAGAGTTGCTTTTCGATTCTTTATATGTTGTAGATATAATCCCTTTGAGAAACAACTAAGGTTTTTTTCTACTTTGTGGGTTATCTTTTCACTTTATTGGTAATTTCTTTTGCTATGCAAAAGCTTTTTTTTGTTTTGTTTTCCGGTACCGGGAATCGAACTCATGACCTTGTGCTTGCCAGGCAGGCGCTGTGCCGGTGAGCTAAATCCCCAGCCTCGCAAAAGCTTTTTATTAAGATGATATCCCACCCAGTCTGCTTCTTTTTTTTTTTTTTTTTGGTTTTTCTCCGGTACCGGGAACCAAACTCACGACCTTGCGCATGCCAGGCAGGCGCTTTGCCTCTGAGCTAAATCCCCAGCCCCTCCCAGTCTGGTTCTTGATCAATGACGTATCCAAACTTTGAGAAACTTCCATGTTTCTAGTAGAATTTTCTGGTCAAAGCTGTACCTATACTATTTAGAAGGTTTTTTTTGTTTCCCCGCTTACTTCTCTAACACTAAACTCAACAAATAGCTGCCCTAAGAATTTGCACATTTCTGTCAAATCCTCAGAAATTGCCTGTCTACTTTTGCCAAGGCAATACCATTTTCTCTTGCTTTCATCGCTGACCCCGTTGCCTTCTTCCATTTTAACCCCTGTGCCTCCCGGAAGCACTTCTGAGTGGTCATCTGACCCACCTTGTTCTCACTCCGTACCTCTTTTGACGTTATTCTTACTCCTGACGTGTTCTTCCTCTTCATGTTCAATCTATTTATTTTTTTTTTCAGATTTGTTCAAAATATACTTTAATAAAATTGTTGACTAGTTTTCTTTTATTTCTCTCTTCTCCTTTTCCTGTCTTAGGTTTTTCCCCTTTCATTTCTGATTATACATATGTAAGGGACTTATTTTATCTCTTTAAAGTTCTCAGCCTCTTCAGCTATTTAGAGGTTAAAACACTGCGCTTTTGTACTTTTGGGTCTCTAAATGGAACGTAAAATACAGGATGGTTTTAGTGTTTACAGTCTCCTCCAGTCTGATTGGATGGCGAAATGTAGGGCTGATAAAGTATCATTTTAAATGGAAGACAGTTACACTCAAAGAGTTGTATTTTTTTTTAACATTTTAAACCTGAAATATTTGTAATTTCTAGTAATGGTCTCTGTGTCATATTTTATTAATGAAGATAGGTTGTCTCTCACCTTGTCATTCTTTTGTGCTTGGCCTACCCCATACATTAGATATGGCTTTGAGACCAGAATTCAATGTTTAGATGATTTTTTTGTTGTTGTTTACTAAGAAAGAACTGGATAGCATTCATTTGTTTAGATAATTTTCTCTTTACCAAGGAACTATTGGATAACATTATTTGTGTGTTTGCTTTTTCTTTGTCTTTTTGAGACAGGGTCTTGCTATGCAGTTCAGGCTGGCCTTGAACTCACTTTGTAGCCCAGGCTGGTCTCAGACTCTCAAGGGTCTTCCTACCTCAGCCTCCTGAGTGCTGGGATTACAGGTGTGAGCCACCACGCCGGGCTGAATTCAGTTTTAATTGAGAAAGTACATTTTTCTGGAATGAGTCATGGAGATGTTACTGTGAAACCTTATTGTTAGAATAATGATATACTATACTTTTTTTGATATACTGTACTTTTCAAAAATATATTGTTCATTCAAGAAAATGAAAGCATTTTTATTATTTCCTAATATATCTTACAGTTTCTAGATAAAATATTATTTTTAAAAAGCAGTGGGAGGGGCTGGGGATTTAGCTCAGCGGCACAGCGCCTGCCTGGCAAGCTCGAGGTTTGAGTTCGATTTTTGGTACCGGAAAAAAAAAGCAAAAACAAAAAAAGCAGTAGGAAAGTTTACTTGGATAAGTAAACGTGAGGGAGTAAAAGTGAACAGTGAGGGGGAACTGGCTCTGCAGACTGAACTTGGGCCACGTAAAAGAGGAAAACGCAAGATAAAGATACAGTTTGGAGAAATCAGGGTGGCCTCCTATGAGGAAAACCTTGATAACCTAAACCCATTAATTCCCAGAAAAATCTCAGAGACATTTGCTAGGATTAGATGATACCTAAGAGTCCTTCCTGTTCTCATGCTTTGACTGCCAACCTCAGTGTTTATTTAAAAATGAAAACTTGCATTTGTTTTTGTTTTTCTGGTATGGGGAGTCGAACTCACCACCTCGCGGTTGTCAGGCAGGCGCTAGACTGCTGAGTTATATCCCTGGCAAAAGACTTGCATTTAAAACTTGTATTTAAAGCCATTTTGCTTATATCTGCTCTATTGATAAGGCTGTGTTTCCTGAGTAAACTTCAGTAGAGGCTCAGCCACGTGACATGAAATATCATTGACTGTTTTCTCTTGTGCTGTTTTCGCCCCCGCAGACTGATTGAGATAGCAGAATCCCGTTTTCCTAGTTATTTTAACACTGAAGAAAAATTACTTTTGACAAGTACCAAAGTTCATGTTTACCGAGAACTTACCTGTGAAGAAGTTCTACAAAGGTATGCTGTTTTAGACTTTAATATTTAAATAATGCTTTGAAGACTTATTTTTTTTTTTTTTTATACTTTTAGCTTCTAAACAGAAGAAATTCCTTATATTAGGGTTATGCAAGTAGTTCTTTTAGTTTTCCTTTTGATTTGCTGAAACTTTTTTTTTTTTTTTCTGGACTGTGGATAGAACTCAGGACCTTGCGCTTGCCAGGCAGGTGCTGTGCTGCTGAGCTACATGCCCGGCCTGATTTGCTGAAACTTTTTGAAGTATACCTTTAAAAGTGAAAAAATGGTAAATGAGTAAAATTTTCAGGTTATTATCTAAGTGGTATATCAAATATCTATTGTTCTGTTAACAAATTACCTCATAGTTATGAGGGTTTTTTTTTTTTTTTTTTTTTTTTTTTGAGGCAGAGTCTTGCTATGCAGTTCAGGCTGGCTTTGAGCTCACTTTGTAGCTCAGGCTGGTCTCCAACTCGGGAGGATCTTCCTGCCTCAGCTTTCTAAGTGCAGGGATTACAGGTATGTGCCACTACTCCTGGCACAGTTATGAGTTTAAAATAGTGAATATATGTTATCTTTCATAATTTCCGATGGTTAAGTCTCTGGGAGTGACTTAGTTGGGAATTTCTGTCTCAGAATTGCTCAGGAGGTTATAGTTAAGCTGCTGGCCCGTGGCTGTAGTCCTCCTAAGGTTCGACTGGGCTGGGATGTCTGCTTCCAAGCTCACTCATGTGGTGTTTTGAAGTCCTCCATTCCTTACTGTGTGGGCTTCTCCCTCGAATCACAACATGGCAGCCTGTATCACCCAGCGTGAGGGAGCTGAGAGTGGGCCAGGGAGGGAGTGTCTGAGATGGAGGTTGTAGTCTTTTACAAGGTACTCTCAGCAATGATGTACCATTATTCTGACATACACGATTAGTAACACAGACCAGCTCTGGTACAGTTATGGAGAGGTAAGGGTATGGCATGCTAGAAGGTAGGGTAAGTGAGGTCATTTTGGAGTTTCACTCCAAAACTGAAACTTTAGTGGTACCATAGGAGAACCTCAGAATTCTGCAACTAAATGAAAATATTTTGCTCTATTTCCAGAAAAAGCAGTTTCACTCTAAAATTGAAACTTTAGTGGTATCATAGGAGAACCTCAGAATTCTGCAACTAAATGAAAATATTTTGCTCTATTTCCAGAAAAAGGCAATATGTATATATATATAGCTGAAAATAAGTTATTTTTATTGAATTTCTGCAGTCAGCACTATAACTTAGGGAGAACAATTTGCTATTATTTTAAAGTTGATTAACCTTTGTAGTGCTCTATTTAAAATTATATTTTAAGGCCGGGGATATAGCTCAGTGGCACAAGCACCTACCTGGCAAGCACAAGGTCCTGAGTTTGATTCTTGGTACCAAAAACAAACAAAAAAACCAGAAATACACACACACAAAATTATGTTTCAGATTCATCTACCATTTTATAAATTATGCTGTTACAGGATTGAATCTTTGGAAGAAGAAATTATTTCAAAAAGAGTTAAAGTTGTGATTATTGACTCCATTGCTTCTGTGGTCAGAAAGGAATTTGATACACAACTTCTAGGCAATATGAAAGAAAGAAACAAATTTTTGGCCAAAGGAGCATCCTTATTAAAGTATTTGGCTGAGGAATTTTCGATCCCGGTAAGATTTTTTCTTTTTCTTTTCTTCTATTTTTTTCTTCTATGTTAAGTTCACTGGCTTGTAATGTCCAGTAGTAAAATCAGCAGAAAATGTGAAACAGATGAGTTTTCTTTAAAAAGCAGCATGGTTTAATTGCAATAGAAAATATCACTGTTTTCTTGAATTAGTTCATCTACTGAATTATAGTGGTACCTTGGTTTACGAACCTGATTCTTTCCGTGATTCTGGTCACAAACTGAGTTGGATGAGAACCACGTCCAATTCAATGGTTAGTTTCAGTGTTGACCTTATAGGGAAATTTGATTCTGTTCTCAGCCAGTTCAGTTTTTGACCAGAGTCATGGAGATAATTGAGTTTGCAAACTAAGACACCACTCTAGTTTACTCTCTTCATACTTTGTCCCTGGGGAAGTCTTTAAAAGTTAAATGTTAAATGTCTTGAAAAGATTCCATGGTCATCTTTTTCTTCCATCTTGTCATTTACTCATTGTGTACGTCTTATATCATTTGTTACACCGAGATATCTCTTAAGTAATAAAACTCCATGAAATTTTCCAGGTTTGTTTCTATAGTTTTTTTCTTTTCATTTCTTCTCCCCCCCCACTCATCTTTCTTTCCTTTTTTCTCCTTTCTTTTTGCAGTACTGGGGATCCAGTATCACTGAGTTACATCCTTAGCCCTTATATTTTATTTTAAGACAGGACTTCACTAAGTTGACTGGGTTGGTTTTGAACTTGTGATTCTTCTGCCTTAACCTCCCCTGTAGCTGGGACTGCAAGCTTGCAGCACTACATTTGCCTGAAGTTTCTTTTACTGTAGTAGTTGTCAGTTTTATAAATATTCTGCTTTGAAATTCTGTGTTATTTTGTTCAGTGCTGTTTTCTACACAATACGACTTAATTTCCTTCAAATAGCAAGTGTCAGGGGTTAATGGATGTTGGGGAAATAGTAATGAAAATGCCTTTAGGCACTGTTGCCAAGAGGCACGGCCTTCAGCTGTGGGCGTGGTGATTAGGGGATCTGAAGAGGAGGGGTATCGGGAAGGTCTGTGGTGAGTAAACTACAGCGTGTGCGCGTGTGCGAGTCCCACCCCTGTGTGCAGCTGTGGGAGAGCATACTTGTTTGACAGCCCAGCCACAGTTGGTACTATCGGGCTTTTCGATTTTAGTCATGAGAGAAAATTTAGTTACGATTTTATAGTTTTTAGATTTGGTTTTAGAAAATTATAATCTTGAGATGGAAAGATAGCCCTTGTTCTTGGGTAGGAAGAACCAACATAGTGAAAATGGCCATACTCCTCAGATTTTTATACGGACTTAATACAATCCCCATCAAAATACCATTAGCATATCTCACAGAATTAGAGAAACAATCCTAAAATTTGTTTGGAATCACAAGAGACCTACAATGGCAAAAACAACCCTGGGCAACAAAAGCAAAGCAGGGGCGCCACAGCCCCTGACTGGTAATAGTAGCTACAGAGGTACTATGATTAAAAACAGCATGGTTCTGGCAGAAAACCCTGAGGATCACTGGAACAGATTAGAAGATGCAGAAACAACTACAAACACACTCAGCCACCTTATCTTTGACAAAGAGAACAAACATGTACACTGGAAGAAAGATAACCTATTTAATAAATGGTGCTGGAAAAACTGGCTTTCCACATGCCGAAGACTAAAACTAGACCCATGTCTCTTACCATATGCTTTCTTTCTTTCTTTCTTTTTTTTTTTTTTTTTTTTTGTCTTTTTGAGACAGGGCCTCACCATTCAGTTCAGGCTGGCCTTAAGCTCACTTTGTAGCCTAGGCTGGTCTTGAACTCACCATATTCTGTACTAAAATCTACATGGATGAAAAACTTTCCTTTTAAACAGTAAATAGTAATTGCAGGCTAATGCTTCTCATTTTTTTTTTTTTTTCTGAGATGCTTTATCTCTCTGAGAAAGGGACCCTGCTCTTCTGTTTTTAATAGAACCTTCTAAAAGAATAGGTACTGTGGGAGGCTGGGGATTTAGCTCAGTGGCACAGTGCCTGCCTGGCAAGCATGAGGTTGTGAGTTTGATTCCTGGTACCGGAAAAAAAAAAAAAAAAAAAAAAAAGGTACTGTGTATCACCACATTTCTGTTTTTTTTCCCTTGTTTCTCTGTTTAAAGATGAATGCAGAATGTACTATGTTCTTGTATAATAGTGTGGTAATGGTTTTGTGAGAGGGAAGTATTGGTTTTAAAAGCCTTTGAAAATATTTCTTTTAGGAAATGTCAGAATTTTCCTAGCCTAATTACCTCATTTAAGTGGAAAATCATAAACTTTTAAGCTTCTGTACTATACTTTGAATAAGTGGCTTCATATGGCACCAAATTTCTTAAACACAGTGTGTTGTTTTCTGGTTCATTGTACTTTTCAAGTTAGCAAAGCTTGTGTCTCCTTGCCATTCCTCGAACATGCCAACAGACACTTCTGCTTCAAGGATACAGGAGTCAATATACAGAAATAGGTTGTTTGCTCTATATGTGAACAGTGACATATAGTTGGAAATTGAAAGGATGTACCATTTATAAGACCACTAAAACATGGAATACTTAGGGATAAATATCATATCTGTAAAGTTTTTATGCTGAAAACTATCAAACAGTGATCAAAGAAGACTTTTTTCATTTTTGAAATGGGAGGTCATTATTTCACAGACTGGCCTTAAATTCATCTTACTCTTGCCTTTGCCTCCTGAGTAGCAGGATTACAGGCAAATGCCACCATGCTGGCTAAAGAAACCTAAGTACATTGTGGAGAATTACGCTATACTGATGGATTTCAGACTCTGTAGTAAGGCTTGCGGCCATAACTCAGTGGTAGAGTATGTGTTTAGCCTACTGAAGCCCTGGGTTTAGTCCCTAGCACCAAAAATAAACTTCAGTTTGTCAAAATACCAGTTCTGTCCAATTGCTGTATGTATTCAGTACCCATTTCAAATCAAAATCCTAGTATACTGTTGGTAGAAATCAAGGTGGCTATGAAATTTATATGGAAAAGCAGAAAATTGACATTAACCAAAAAAATTTAAGAAAAGTAGACTGTAGCTGGAGGACTCAAAACTACCTGATGTTGAGAATTACCATAAAGCCACAGTAATTAAGACTGTTATATAAGTGGTAGGGTAGACTCCTTGATCAATGGAATAGAATAGAATCCAGAAATAAACCCATAGGTTTATAGTTAATTAATTTTCAACATAGATGTTTAGGTAATTACATGGAAAATGGATAGTTTTCAACAAACAGTGCTGAAATAACTGTATATCCATATGCACAAAACAAAACTGTGACCAATTGCTTCCACCATTACATAAATCTAACACAACATGGACCATGTATTATAATATAAAATCTAAAACTATTAAAACTTTTAGAAGGAAACATAAGCAAAACTCTTTGTGGCCATGGGTTAGGCAAAGATTTTTCAGGTAGGGAATAAAAAATATGTCCATGAAAAGCAGTTCTTCTTGTTCTTTGAGGACATGTTAACTTTGTATTTTGGTAATTCAACATATAAAGAATAGTCAATGTTGTAATAGAACCATCTAGTTTTTACAATGGGCCAGTGATTTCAATAAATATTTTAGCAAAGAGGATATATAGCTAGTAAATAAAGACATGAAATAATGTTTAAAACCATTAGTCATTAAGGAAGGGTAACTTAAAATCACAATGAAATATTACTGCATGTCTATTAGGATGGCTCAAAAAAAAAAAGCCTATTGAGGATATAGAGCAGTTGTAACTTTTCTGTGTACTGTTGGATGGAAATGCTTGATTGCATAGCCACTTTCAAAAACACTGGCAATTTCTCATAAAGTTACACATATATTTACTACATGACCTAGGAATTTTTCTCCTAGGTATTTACTACCCAAAGAAATGATGATATATACCTATATAAAAATCTGTATGTGTATACATCGTAGCTTTGTGTATAGTAGTAGCTTTATCTAACCAAACATCGGAAACAACTCAAATGTGCATCAACTGGGGAATGAGTAAAGAAATTAATATTTACATGATAAGATATTCCTGCAAGCTAGGGAAAATTGAAAGAAATCCTCAATATCACTTGCTTTTAGTTACTTTTATGGACTTTAAAAATCACATGGAGGTCACATAATTGAGCAATATGTTTTAGTGTCCTAGGTTTGTTGTACAAGGACTGATCAAAAAACACAGTATTTAAATAAAAAAGTTATTTCAGTAAAAGACACTAATCACCCTCAGAATAGTCCTCCCCGTTTTCAACGCACTTAGCTCACTTTCTGAAGCAGTTCTGGAAGTCCTCCCTTGTGTCTTTGTGAGATGTCAGAAACACGGTGAGTGCTGATGCCAGGTGCCACCCAGTGGAAAGGCGGGCTGTAAAAACACTACGGACCTGGCACAACGTGATGTCTGGCTCTTCCTCAGAGTCAAAATGATCATGGTAGATGAATGCTTTTGAATCAATTCAGGACACTGAGGTAGGCACAACAGCGCAACTAAAGACACTTAGAGAAAAGACTTCCAGAGCTGCTCCAGAAAGTGGTAAGAGTGATGGGACAAGTGTGTTTGATGTGAGGAGTTTTGGGGGGAATTAATGGCAATGTGTGTTTTACTGTAATACATTTTTTAAAAATGTAAACATTCACTCTGTTTTTCAGTAACGCCTCTAATGGCGAGGTTAATGCTAAGGTGCTAATGCTAGGGACTCTGTTTATAATTCTTCTCTGATTTTAACTTTTCATAACTGCAGGAAAAGGAAAATTACCAAGTTTGCTTAATCATTGAACTTTATTTGAACAGTTCAAGCTTTGGCCTAGCAGCCTTCTTTTTAAAAAATCTGCTGTTGTCTTCAGAATTCCTAGTACAAACTATTGAAACCTTATTCCATATTGTTTTATAGTAGATGTTGAAATTAATTGTGTAGTTTTTTTTTCTGGTTGAGTTATGGAAGCAGTAAATTGCTGAAAACTTATAAGTAAAAAACAATGTTATAGTTCCTTAGTCTCTTGTTAAGTTTTCTTTCTTGGAGAATTTTTCTTTCTTTTATATCCCGTCTTTTGGTTGATGCTATTAATGGGCAGTTTGTGGAGATTGCAGGACTTTGGAGACTGCTGGAAATGTAGGTCTTAATGAAAATGCGGAATCAAATTTTAAAGATTTGAAATATTTCAGTTTCAGCTCACATAGTTTCAACCTCAAATGATAAATCAGTAACTTGTTTTTAATTTAATTTATTTATTTTTGCACTGCTAGGGATTGACCAGGATCCTTGCTAGGCAAGCACTCTATCACTGAGCTGTGTCAGCAGCCCCGACAATTTGTATTTTAAGTTCATGCTTTCCTCCTGGAGATAGTTTATCTATAAGCATGTGAGAGCAAATGTCCTCTCTCAGGGCTGAGGAAAAGTGGATGTCTCAAGGTCTCTTGTTCTGTCTTCATCAGTGGTGTATAATGAGATTTACAATCTCAGGCAAGATTCAGACCCGAGATACTTTACTTTAACAGTGTTGTGGAAACTTAGAAAAAAGCTCTTTGGAGTAGTTTATGGGGGAATACCCTTTATTAATTCTTTTATGTGTGGGTGTTGTATGAGGAAATAGTATATAGCTCATAGAAATCTGAATTTTAAGGACTTTTAGGGCCCCTGATGCTCTTAAAGTTCTGATATTTGGTCCTCATGGATGGGGGAGGATTAGTGTCTTGATACTCCTCTCTCAGAGTATCAAGATGTTCAGTTTGATAACATCTTGAAACATTAAGAACATCCAGAACATGTTTAAACACAGGAGAATGGGATGGGGCTGTTTTTCTCTGACATTTTATTGTACTAACTTATTTTTTAGAATATTTTATAATTAATCACACTAAGGACTTATACAGCTTTATCTCTATGATATTTGTGAAATGTTTTATTTTCAACACATTTGGCACACTAATAAAATATATCAATATATTTTAAGCTTCACTTCATTTTCGTGTCTTAATGTGGTAACAGAAACAAGTTTTCAACTGACGTGTGGTCTATTTTTACTTGTTAATTGAAATGTTTTCATAATTACCTAATTTCTTGAGACTTCACATGCATAACTTCTAAAAGTATAGGTAATAAAGCATAACATTTCTCTTTAGTCCCTTGATACTACTGTGATGCCAAATCTTGCCTAGATATTAAATATGTTTTACCAATTCTAGTTATTTTATACAAAAAACTGCTTCAATGTGGGTAAACTCTTGCAGATTTGATGGGGCAAAATTGTGCTTATTAATTGTATTCAAATAAGCATTTACTTGTATGTAGTAGGCAGTCTTGGGGAAAGAAAGATTTAAAAACATACACATTGACTTTGTTATGTGAGACAGAAGCAGTTGCACAGAGAATGGACAGTAGAGATGGGTAGCTTTGACAGACTTACCAATGAGGAACTTTGCTGTCCGTGACACTCCCCAAGTTCCAACATACTCCACTGCTGTGCAGTCCTGTGTTACAGCCCTTCGCCTCGACCAAGAAAAAAAAATCACTTGTACCATTACAAAAAATTTGTTTGCACCAACATGTTAGGTCTCTTGTTCATTTGCCTTTCAGGCTTCTTGCTGAAGAGGAAGCACTGTCCTTTTGATCACACTGCTTGTCTAAGTGGGGTATGCATATGGTAGCCATAGATGGCACCTGAAGTATAGGAATGCAACTTTAGAAATATCCACTTTGAATGCAACAAAAATGTTTCTCTCAGAAGTACCAGAGGATTGTTGAGCTGAAGGATTACAACACAGGGCCACTGTACCTTTCCTTTGTTTGCCTAAAAACAGGGCAGGTAATTACTAAGACAAATACTCCTTCTACTCCCTCTGTACTCTCCTTCCTAATGACAGAATGTGACTTTTCCTTTAGTGGAGGCAGTCTTCGTCAATTCAGAGAAGAGCCCAACATGAACCAGAGGAATCTATGAGCAGAACTTCTTTCCAATTTTTTTTTTGTCTTTTTGAGACAGGGTCTCACTATGCAGTCCAGGCTGGTCTTGAGCTCACTTTGTAGCCCAGGATGGTCTTGAACTTGCAACGATCCTCCTGCTTAGTGCCTTTTCATGTTTGGGCTAAGGCCTGGAACTGTCTTCTTTGTCTTTTCACTCTTTTAAAGTTTATTGCTCTTTGTTAAAACATTAAGACATTAAACAGTGTTCCAAGCCATTACTTTGAGGGAGTTGTTTTTTTCTCTTGTGTAGTGTGCAATGTATGCATTAATAAACGTGACTGTTCTTTTCTTAATTTGGTTTTTTGTTAAGGAATCAAAATCAACCCTCTTAATTTATGAGGGTAAGAAAAATTATGTATTTCTCCCATCCAATTTTTTACCCCATACTCTTATAATTTCTATTTTATGTAAGTTTTAAAATATCTATCTGGGTTGGGGATATAGCTCAGCAGCACAGTGCCTGCCTGGCAAGTGTGAGGTCCTGAGTTCAATTCCTGGTATCAAAAAAAAAAAAAATCTATCTATGTATGTATCTATGTGTCTGTCTGTCTGTCTAGAATGTTTTAGGACATCTGGCATATTCATGTGTTTAACAGTAAATCTACTTATGTTGGGGAGAACTTTGCTTTGGTGTGTGGTCGGTAGTGGTAACGATGATTTTAGGTCACAGAATTTCAGGAAAGTGAGTAAAACTCATATTTTTATGTCAGTGGAGATGTAGTTCTATTTTTGGGGGGCGGGGGTTGTGTTGTTGGAGACAGATTCTTATTGTGTAGCCCAGGCTGGCCTTGAACTTGTGATCTTCCTGCTTCAGTCTCCAGTGCTGGGACAATAGGAGAGCACCACCATCCCAGTGGAGATGTGTTCCTTAAAACCTTACTTTGCTGAAATGTACGGCAAAGATAGTGCTATTTGAAGAGTTCTGGGTTAGAATTTTCTCCTAGAATCAAATAGATCGGGTGAGAACTCAGACTCTTTTACTCATTACCTGAAAAGCTATGCTTATTTACTTTTCTGTTTCCCAGTTTCCTAGTCAATAAAAATAATGGGAATAATAATGCCCACCTTCAAATAGTGGTGTTGTGCCCATTTCTCAATAGATCCTTAGAGAAGTTAGAGGGTATTTGGGGGTGCAAGAGTATCTCTTTGAAACTGGAAATTGGTTGTCCCCTTGAATTAAATATACTCATAATCAGCCTCACATATAGCTTAACAAATAATTAGCTGTAAAAGCTGTAACGGGCACTTTTCTCTATTATTTAACACTTAAAATTTATGTGTCGGAGAATTTATTAACTCAATTTCAGAAGCAGTTATATTTTGATTCCCACCTGTTTCTTCTAGGATTTTCAGATGCTGGAGAGGTCCATCCCATTTTCACTCTATTAGCTTACCTGGGCCAGGGATCAGAAAAGTTTTTCTTCAAAGGACCAGGGCATAATATTTTACTTGTGGGCCATATGGTCTCTATGACAACTTAGGTTTTCTACAGATAATTTATAAATAAATATGGTTGTGGTTTGATAAAACTTCGTTTACAAAAGCAGATGGAGAGCTGGGTTTGACCCACAGGCCATAATTTGCCAACCTATGGTACGGACCCTTTTCCTAGACTCAGGGCCAAGGCTAGTGCTGCCATAGCCCAGTAACGTAAGGAATTAGGAGGGAGGACAGGAGAGCCGCCTGCCTACAGGAGCAGTGTTTTCTCATGTTAGTTTAAGGCACTGGCCCCTTTTAAAGGCAAATAATATTCTCATGAACATTCATGATTGACTTCAGTGTTATTATCTCAGAAATGTATACTATTATGAGATTAGCGAGTAATCCTTTCTAATAAATCATACTTGTAAAACCATATGTGAATTACATTTATAAGTGGCATAATACCTCTGAAATTAATTATGCTAATTTAATGTTATAGATAGTAACTTGTTAAATTAAATTACTGCTTATAGTATCCATATATTAAACTATACCACACTTTTTTGATTGTAATATATGTAGCCCTACTATAGTTTATGTGATGACTCAATTTTGCCTCCTGTTTCTGTGTTTGAGCTACTGTGAAACCTCTTCTGTTTGGGAGAGATGACATCATTTGGCCCTTGGGTAGCATGAATGCAATTACATTTCAAGTCTGCCGTCACTCTTTCCTCCATTGGTCCCTGACGGTTAATGGATTGATGCCACATGACTAAACACTGCTATATTAGTATCTCCTGGAAGTTTTAAAATATAGAATACCTATACTAATGTTTTGAGGCTGTCTCTGAAATAAAATATAACATTAAAAAATTCTCAGAATTTTATAGGCCTTTGAATGTATTCATGCTGCAGTCTGAGAAACATAGTTGTAGAAATTTGGTAGAATCTTTTCTCCTGAAGCTCATGGAGATGTAAAAGACACTCTGTTATTGGGGTGGAAGTTTTGTCTTTTTAAAGCATGTTCACACTAGTAATGGAGAAAGTAGATTCTGAAGCTATTATAGATATTTGTTTTCTAAAAACAATTTAAGAAAAGAATTTAAATATTGCCTATATTAAATAAACTGTTATGGTTATATTGCCTTTTATTATTGACTTCTGACTACCATGTGCAGAACAATAATTATGCGTATTGTAAATTATGTATCAGATTAAAATAACAAGATTCAAAAGCTGCGTGTGGTGGCGCACGCCTGTAATCCCAGCACTCGGGAAGCTGAAGCAGGAGTGTCATTGCGAGTTTGAGGCCAGCCTGGGCTACAAAGTGAGCTCCAGGCCAGCCTGAACTGCATAGCGAGACCCTGTCTCAAAAAGACAAAAATAAAACAAAACAAGACGAAAACCCCCCAAACAGGATTTGCTTTCCAGGAAGGATTTTCAAGATACATAGATTAGCTCCTTCATTCTACTGATGACACTGAGGACCCATAGCATAGGAGATGACAAATATTGGGTAGAATGCAAAGTCATTAGGATGCCTCTTTGTAGACTTTTTTCTGCAGCAAAACTGTCTTTTCTGAGACAGAATGTTGGTGGATTATAAACTTCTTAAAGACAAGACTGTGTCTTTTATTTCTATGATTTCTGTGAATAAGTAATATTTATCAAGTACCCCCAACAGCTAATAAAATTACAGCTAAGGCTTATGAACATGCACTTACCATATATATATCACTTTATATCTTACCCATTTGAGATCTTTTTTAAGCATAATTTGAATATTTTATGCTTATGGGTGAAATTCTTGCTTGTTTTTGGATTCAAGGCCTTGTTGTGTAGCTCAGGCTGGCTTTGAACTCGCGATCCTCTTGTCTCAGCTTCCCAAACTCTGGGATTACAGGCATGCTTGGTTCCTCAGTGTTTCTTTTATTTATTTTGCTTTGTTTTCCATCCTAGAATTTTATTAGCTATTGCAATAAAGGTGAGTGAAAGTGCATTGTTTACACAGTAGGACTTTAACCTTTGTATGGTTCTTTGAAAATGCCTTCCACTGCTATTTTTGAACTTGTGCTAGTAAAGATGGAAAAAAATGCCAACATCTAAGTTTTTACTATTTCAGAGAATTTAACGCTAATTTCAGTCATTGGTGTATGGGTGATATTAAGTGTTGTGACCTTCCTCTCTGTTTTCTTCTACCTCCTTCATTTTAATATCCTTGCCTCACCTGCCATCACTATGGTGCATATTCTCTTGTTCCCTGGCTCCCTTGTAAGGCAGGTAAGGCAAAGATGGGTTGACTGGGGCTTCATTTTTGATCCGTAGGTTACGAGGCTGATTATTTTTCTGTTAGGTCTTATTTTCAGGAAAGTTGTTAAAGTCCGAATTATTTTACTGCAATATGTTTATACCAGTTTTTCTTTTGTTGCCATCTGTGTTCTGGATCATGTGCCCTTTGAGAATATACATTGCTTTAATTTATTGCTTATCTGTATTTCCTTTGAAATAGTAATGCTTGTTTTTATATTTAAAGCTCTTTAGAGCCCCGGTTTGGTGGCCCATGCCTGTAATCCCAGCACTCAGGAGGCTGAGGCAGGAGGATCGTTGTGAGTTCGAGACCAGCCTGGGCTACAAAGTGAGCTCAAGGCCAGCCTGAACTGTGTAGTGAGACCCTGTCTCAAAAAGGCCAAAAACAAAAAGGCCAAAAAAAAAAAGTGCTCTTTAGAAACGTGATTTAAAATGTTTTTCACTTTGCTATTTTTAAGACATAAAGATTTAAAGTCATTAATCAGAAGAAACTTTCTATTTTTAAGTGATAGAAATATAAGATTAACATTTTTATTTTATTTTATTTTTTTTTTGGTTTTTCTCCGGTACCGGGAACCGAACTCACGACCTTGCGCTTGCCAGGCAGGCGCTTAACATTTTTATTATAATTTGACAAAAGCATAACAGTGTTTTTTCTCTCAATTTAATGGTAAACTTCATATGAGGCAGGATTTTCTTTTCTCTTTCCTTTAGCAGTCCCATCATGCAATGTGAGTTTAATCTTATAGGATTATATCTTATTTTATACCTTAATATGTATTGAAAAAAATTTAAAA